TATATGTATATGTACATATGTATATGTAATCAAAAATCCAATCAAGCAAAATTCTTAAGCAGATCTATTATGCATACTTCTACACACACACATACACATGCACACACACACATGCGCCGGCATGTATGAAAGCAATGCATAAATAAGTAAAATAAGTAGAGATGTAAGTAAATGGTAACAAAAATTCTAAAGACAACACTTGAGGTGCCTAAAATTCCCAGCAACGTGAAATATTTGTGGCATTTATGCGCTCGGCTGCCGCTAAGTTGAACGCTTCACTTGAAGGCGGCAAAGCGGCACCGAGGTAAAAAGCACCAGCGCAGCCAACAGCTAGTCGCTACACAGCAGCAAGGTGTGTGTGTGTGTGTGTTTACTTTAAGTGAATGCATTAGCTTTGTGGGAGTTGCGCCACTAACAAACAGAGCTAAATACATACATACATACATACATACATGCATACATACATACATCGTAAATGTGTGCCAAATCTGTGCAGGCGAAAATTCCATTCAAAAGATGTATTAAGATGCATATGTATGTATGTATATGTGTATGTTTGTTTATCTTATTTTCAATTCACGTATGTGCGTACGTATGTCTGCATGTATGTATCTGCTGCATACTTAGAATTTTGAAGATGTGCACAAATCTAAATATAGTTGCACAGGGTTGACTAACCTCTTGTGTATACGAGTAATTCCTTTGTGCATACTTCTATTTGTAAATGTGTGCGTACACCAAAACAAACAAATACAGAACTACGGAGAAAGAAAAAAAATTTTTCATCCGTTTGTTATTTTTTATCTTTCCTGTTTTTTTATCTTCAATTCAATAATCTGCTCATATTGAGAAATTGATTATAATTGAAGTTTTATTTAATGCGTACTTTCGAAAAAAAAAGTAAAAGAAGAAAGAAAGAAATTAATTTTAAATTTTATTTTTTTAAATTGAAATTTCGAAAACGTGAAATTGAAAATATTTTCGAAATTTTTTCAACCGAGTTGTTATTCTGCTTTCCAATGGCAAAGAAACAAGTTATTTTTACATTAAAGTGAACCCGTTACTCCTAAATACGATATAATTGCAGCTGAGACTGGTTTTGAAATTTTTCTAATTCGAATTCTCCTGCAAAAGCACAGAATATTAGAAATTACAGTTCCAGAGTCAATTGCAGATTTCATATGTCGTACGGGACATTCATGCTCTTTCCCTTTGACTAACAACATCTATATTTTCGCTCTAAAAGTTTTAGGTTATATTCAAATTAGTCAGGGGCCAAATAAAGTAGGTCTAATAGGAATTCCTTACCAAGGAACTAACTCATTCGCTTATATCAAATTATATTTCTTATTATTTTTCACCTACTTTCTCTTTATTTATTTCTTTAGTTGCTTGATTATGTATTCCTATATTTATTAGGCTGGTAGACACAAAGAGAGAGAGAGATTTTTGAAAATACGTTTAGCAACCTTACTCCACCGCCTTTCGCCATATGTCGGGTCTAAAGAATAAATATTGGATGAGTGCATAAGTTCGTGCCCGATTTCAAGTGCAAACTAAAAATGAAATTTTTTGAAGAAAGCGCTTTTATTAATCAATTATGTATTCACCGTCATGTTCGGCGATCCACTCCCAACGTTCAACCAATTTACGGATGCCTGATTAATGGAAATCGCGCGGTTTCTCGTTGAAAAAGGTGTCAAGGTGGTTTTTGACGTCTTCCACAATTTTAAATTTTTTCCCATACAAATTGTTCTGCAGCGATCGAAACCAATGATAATCAGAAGGTGCAATGTCGGGTGAATATGGGGGATGCGGCACGATTTCCCAATTCATCTCCTTCAGTTTGGCCAGGGTCGGTTTTGCAACATGTGACCTGGCGTTGACATGATGGAAAAGAACTCCTTTGCGATTGGCCAAATTCGGACGTTTTTCTTCAATTGCTCTCTTCAATTCGACCAATTGCTGACAATAATTGTTGGTAATGATCGTTTCTCAAGCTGGCAAGAGCTTCATCGGATGCAATCCACCTTTCGACATCGGTTTCGCCCCTTCGTATGCCTGTTTCCATGTTCTTTTGCGTTGAACATTATTGTATAGGATCCATTTTTCTTCACCAGTCACGAGCCGATCCAAAAAAGGTTCGTTTTTGGACCGTCGAAGCAAAGAAATTGCGGTTGACATACGGTCCACTGGCAATTCACTGGCAACCTCTTCCGTCGAAATACGTGAGTTATTCGCAACTAAAGTCCTTAGAACATCGTCATAAAGCTCAGAAGGCCGTCCACTGCGAGGTTGATCTTCGAGGTTAAAATCTCCAGAACGAAATTTCGCGAACCATTTCTTTACTGTGCGGACTGCTGGAGCGCGGTCCAAATAAACTTCGCGAATATCTTTAGTTGCAGCGCCTACTGTTTTTCCTTTGCGGAATTCGTATAACATAATATGACGCATATGATCTTTTTCGTTGTCCATCTTCCATGTGTCTTTTCACTAAGCAACTCAAATCAAAATGAAGTTATTTTATGCTTGATTTGTAGTTCGGACTGTCACCTTTCCAACGATATATAGTATGTATATATTTCTTTCACGAGAATCGGGCACGAACTTATGCACTCATCCAATAGATTATCTAATGGATGAAGGACTGAAAGCCAGCAGAGCACTCTCCAGGCCTTACCGTGAAATCGATTGCGAAACGAAGTGATCATTACTTTCTCAAAAACACAGTAACCATAGATTTTCTCAACGGCTGCTATGAATTAATTAGAAATCATAGGCAGAGTCTCGGCCTCAATTAGCGTAGATTGCGCCATTTTGTTGTATTTTCCTCTGTTATCTATGATTTTTGATAGCTGTTTGGGCCGTAAGTCTCAAATTAATGAACGCCGGCATGAATCCGCAACTGAATCCAAATAAAATAAAAAAACAACAATAAGTAGAAAAGTCAGTTAGTCGAAGAACAAATATTTAGTGAAAAAAGTAAGAGATATTACCTTTTATAGAGATAAATTCCAAGAATATAATAGATAAATGTTTTTTATATATGTATGTGCCCGAAAACATTACTCATCATGAAAAACTGTAGAAGTAAAAACTCGTACGGTTTCTTATTTCGTTTATGCTTTTATCTATTTACGAATGTGCATAAGGACCCACCGCTAATTATTAGATTATCTGCAGTTTGGACTACCAACTTGCTAGGTAAATTTGGTAGGTACAATGAGAGTGAGATTTTAAGACCTTCGGGATATGCCCTCGGCTTCAACCTGTAGTTCATTTGGGGCAAACCAGTTTAGATTGAAACCGCCTATCCAACATTGACTTGATTTCCCCCTTTTAAAAACAGTCTAAGGTTTAGACTGACCATAGCAATCGGTGGAAATCTTTACAAGAATAAACACAGCCTTCGAATTCAGTTCAGTTGTTTATTACCGTGCTAACACCTTGACTTCCGCAACTGGTCAAACCCGACTGAAGAGAAAAACGAATTAAGCCAGCTGCTCATTTCTGCTAATGAACTATTTTGTTTCAATTTATTTCAAAGATATTGCTACTTATATTGAGTGCAGATTCTTAATATAAAAAAAAAACAACTATGACACATTCATACGCATATATATATGTATGTATGCATGTATATGTACATATATATGAGTAGCATTTTACATATAAATGTAATTAAATTAAAATACAAATAACTTCTTTACCTTCTTTGGCGTCAAATAATCATATGCATTTTTATATATTTTAGCGAAAAAAGAAATAAATATATTATGTATGTAACCGCTGAAGTGATTTTCGGCCGAGCTCTTCCTATAATTTATGATGTACGTCTTAATGTTTTTCCAAAAAATGTACGATGCATTTTTATGAAGAAATAAAAAAATAAATTTTCTATGGCTTAAATGTTGGTTGGTCAAGGAATCGAACTTTGAACCTCCAAATGGCAGCACACACTGCTCAACGTTCCGCGCTTGTGGCCATCTAGTTAAAAATAGTCACAGTTGAAATACCAAAAGGAGATGATGGTTGAAGGACCAGCAGCGCTATTTGCTTGACCGTCCTCCTCCGCCTACCAACACTTCGAAGCTGATTAATGGCAAATGAACACAAAAGCTTTATTATAATTACTGTAGTCTATAAAAATTTAAAAATTCTTTACACGCGCACACACAGCCATATTCGACGGCAGATCATTAAGGCTCTTTGCAACCATTTTTTTTTTACCTGCATTTACTTCATTACTCATTTCATACATTCTGCCCTCCGCAAACACGCAACACACCGTTTTTTATTTATTTTTTATTTTTATTTTTTTTTTACTTGCATATTCTTGTTGTCTAATGAACGAATTTTCTTTTCTTTTTTCTTCTCTCTTTTCATATCTTTTTTGCCGACACGCTTCGTAACAATATCGACGAATATATATGTATGTATTTATGTATACTCGTATATGAAATATTTTATCAAACAATGGAAATGCAAATCAAAACGACCACGACAACAACAATAACAAAAACAAAAATGGTGGCAATTCGAAAATAACAATAACAAAAACAATAATCATATTCATTTCGGAAAAATGGGGAAAAATTGCACGGCCCTCGTTGCCGCCGCGTCTCGTACGCTTACCCGACGCCCGCACACGAAACTCCCGCGATGCAACATTTACACAAACATTGATATTCGCTGATTCGCCGTATTTTTGCCCATTTGCCAACTCGCCTGGTGGTGGTTACGTATGCTCAACGCGTTTGTTCGTCGCTCGTCTGTGTTATCAATGCGTCGGTTGTTGCTGTTCGGTGCGGATGTGCTTACGTTTCGTCGGTCGGTCATTGTTCCATTGCTGTGTCACCTAAACATAAAAAAAAAAAAACAAAACAAAAAAAAAAACGAATGAACGAAATCGAAAACGAAAAAAAAATACAAAACAACGCCGTCGATAAACATAATGCCGGCTTCCACCACGCGCCTGATATTGACGTTTTCGCAAGCAGCACAACAGCGCAGACAAGCAGACGCAATCCAGTAGAGGGAGGCATACATACGGCACACAACAGGCGCACGCTTAGTAGCAGCTGATATTTGCCGAGTTAGCACCGGCACAGAACGTTTCTACAGCGACCGCAACGACTTTGACTTCGACCACGAGTGAGCAAGCAGTGAGCAGAAAAGATGGCGAACCCTCGAAAATTTAGTGAGAAAATCGCTTTGCAGAAACAGCGCCAGCAGGAGGGCACCGCTGAGTTCGAGCGAATTATGAAAGAGGTTTACGCAACTAAAATGGATGAGACTCAAGCGAATCAGAAGATACTTGAATGCTGTTTGGTAAATACTGACATCGGCAGCAATCATGCCACAAACGCCAGTCTTATTAGTGGTGCTGGCGTAGGTGGAGGCGGTGGAGGTGGTAATGGTGGTGGTGGCGGAGGCGGAGGCGGTGGCGGAGGAGGTAGCACAGTCGTGGATGGAGTCACAAATGCTGGCGGCAGTGGCAGTGGTGGCGCCTCGCCAGACGGTACACATAACAACAATTCACGTGAGTCACGCGGCCGCAGCGTTGGCGTGGGACCCATGAGACGACCATCAGAGCGTAAGCAAGATCGTTCACCATACGGCAGTAGCGTTGCCGTCGGTGGTGGTATGAATGCAGGTATGAGCAATAACGCCTATCTCAGTCCACCAATGGATAGCAATTGGCGACGCTCCAACTCCGATTCGGCGCTACATCAGACGCTTAACATGGCAGTGGCAGCGGAAGGTGGTTTCGGACCGGCCGGTGGCATGACTAGTTTGGGTGGCCTACCGGGTGATATGAGTGCTCTGCACGCGAACTATCAGCATCATAACCAACGATCTCATTCGCCAAATATTGGTCGCAGTTTTAGTCCACAAGCACAAAGACGGAAGGGTCAGATGTTGCAACATCAGCAACAACAACAGCAACAGCACCTGCACCACAGTCAGCAACATCTTCACTTACAACAACAGCATCAGCAGCTGCAGCAACAGTTTCAGCAGCAACATCATATGCATCAGCCACAAACACAACAACAGCAACATGTCCAACAACAACAACAACATGCGCAACAGCCAGCGAATAACGTTGGTCAACAACATCAGCAACACTTTAATGCCAAATTCAACAACAACTGCAACATACCCGGCAACAGTCTGTTCAAATCGCTGCAAGAGCAAACGTTAGCGCTCGCCAATACCGGCTCCCTGCCAGACCTCACCACGTTACATTACTCGCCCGCACAACAACCAATGTTGCACCAACAACAACAGCAACAGCAAACGCTCTCACCAATACTCTCACCGCACAACAATGGACGCGAGCGTGATCAATCGCCGAGCCCTTTCAGTCCGGCTGGTGGCGCGGGCAATGGCACAGTGGGCGGTCCTCCCTCGACGTATCAGCAGCAGCAACACTCGCCTACTTCAGCCGCCAATACACCAACAGCAGCACAAACATCGCCGCATTTATCCTTTACAAATCTCGCCGTACAATCGCCCACTGGCAACGGCTCCAATACTACGAATACCGCCCAAACCGGCACATTCACCAACCTGCCTACATTGGGCGCCGCCAGCTCGACTGGTAACCTCACTGAATACCGGCAACCCTTGAATCCACCCAGTCCGGGCTCCTCACCCGGTTTACTCACGTCCGCTTCGGGTAACGACGTGGTACACATTAGCGCACCTGCCAGTCCAATACGACATCCGCAGGCCGGCATGATCGGACAGAGCATACAAAACTATAATGAGAAGAATTTGCAAGCTTTCGATCGTTACTCGCCTGCAATGGGAGTTGGTGCGCTGGATGCGGCTGGATTCAATAGTCTGAACTCATCGTTCCACAACCACTTTGAGCAATTCACGCTGGGCGATAGCAATTCCTCTCCCGAACAGCAACAGCAATTGCAACAACATTTTCAACAACAACAGCAGCAGCGTCAACAACAACAACAAAATAGTTTTGCTCAATTGGACTTCGACGACTTTAGCACAGCTTACAACCAGAGCCTCTCGCAGAGCAAACAACTGGATTTTAGCGATCTGACGGGCGTGTCCACGTCCACGGCGGCGACTGCGACGCAGAATAGCAGAGGTGTCACGTGCAATACTAACAATGGGGGAAACACCAGCAATAACAACAACACACATCAACCAACACGCATACTCTCACAGCAACAACAACAGCAACAGCTGTTAAACAACAACGGCGGTGTCGCTGCTGGTAGCAATAACGCGATTAGCAATCCAATTACAAATGGACCAATGCAACGGATTAGCAACAACAACGTGAACATTGCCCAGGCAAACGATGTGAACTCCTCGCCAATACCCTCACCCTTGGGCTGTTTGCCCTCGCCGTCTTCACCACTACCGATTCCAATAAATGCGCAGTCGCCACATCATCAGCACCAACAGCTCTCGCTATCGCTACACTCACACTCGGCTCAGCCGTCACCGCATCATTCGCCATTGCATTCGCCGCATCATGCCTCCCCACTGTCCTCCTCCTCACCGGGCATAACAACACTGACCGGTGGTGGGACGCCTGGCAATGGCTCAAATAATGCGACGTCAGCGCATCACAACCAACAGCAGCAGGCAACGCAACACCATCACCACCAGCACCACACACAACAACACCATTCACAACACCACCAACATCTCCAAAATCACGCAAACACACCGACCAACACCAACATACCGGCGATCGTTTTTTCCGACTACTCGTCACGTGAGATTTTCGATTCACTCGATTTGGACTTGGGACAAATGGACGAGACTGCGCTAGATCTGCTAGCGGATCAGAACTCGATGATGATTGCCGATCCAACAATCGAGGATAGTTTTCGCAAAGATCTTAACTGATACTATGAGGAAGCTGTTGCAGCTATTGAGAGTGGCGTACTGCTGGATGACACCTTCGACCCGCTCGGGCCCATAGTTGACGTCACTGAGGTACTGGGCAATCCGCTGGCGGATACAACAAAGTGCAAAACGGACGTCGCAACCGACAACAACATAGCCACTAATTCCATAACAACAACAACAACAGCAATATCAACAAGCAACTCCGCCGAGGATGCGGACACAAACCTACCCATCACACTCAGCCTTTGCGGCCGAGACAATGTCGAAGATGACCTGAGCAATGTCGACGATACTATAAGCATAGGGCTGGGTATAGGCATAGGATTGGGCATTGGCAGCGGCGGCGATGAGAACGGTGGTGATGTAGACGATTTTTTCTTCTAAACAGCGGTAAATGTACGGTTGGCTCATAAGCGGAACGTCACGAAGGTGGAAGACGGAGTGAAGCACCGGAAAAGCACAACTGTTTCGGTTGTCGTTCGTAGTGTTTGAAAACGACGACGACGGGAACGACAGCAATGACAACTGTTGTTCGCTGAAATGACGCACACAGCTAAACACACAAGCCAAACTCAAGCATGCATAGGAAGGGTCATATGGCAACATGAGCCTGTATGTACAAGTATGCGGGTTGGTTATGGAGTACACGCGCAAGTAACACTGGTAGCAACAGCTTTTAAATCTCTAAGCAGTAGTTAGGACTCTTAAATAAAATATACAAACGTAAATGCCTAATATACATACATACTTATATACAAATACATACAAAGAAATTTGTTTTCTTATACATTTAACAATACATACTGCATATGTAAAACAACCGTTGAGAATGTCAGTGGCGCATTGGTAGGAAGACAAAAGCCGCGTGAGAATTGAGTTGTAAGACGAAATTGAGTTACATAATTTCATTGTGTTTGTAGAAGCGGAGTGCAAGGGTCGGGCGAAGATATGAAACGTTTGTTTGAGGATTTTAAAATAAGTTTCCGTTTGATTCCTTTTTGGCACTTGAGTTCTACATAATAATTATGTTCCATTAAGAACGCAAAAAAAATGACATCTCTGTCGCCGAAGGCTTCTTTCCACTTTAATTATATATGACAGCAGTTACAGAAGACGAACGGTTGCGAAGGTGTGGCGAACGTAAAAATGTCAACTTTAAATTTAATTTTATTTTATTAAATTATTTTCATTTTTCATTTTATTTTATTTTATTTTATTTNTTGATTTGATTTTATTTGCTTGACTTTTTTTTTTTTTTTTAAACAAAATTTAAAATTGTCGTCAATTTCAGAACAGGTTTTCTTCTCCAGGTTTCTAAGAGGTTTCGCCTATCGAGTCATGTTTCACGATAATTCGAAGTCACATCTAATGAATTTGTCATGTTTACATATATATTTTCCATCATTTTTGCCTGAGATTTATACGAATCTTGGCTGGCTCAAGATTACGTATTCTAAAACTCTAAAATAATAAATATTCAGTGGCAAATTCTCTTATTCTAAAATACTTCGCAAAGTATTCCTTACGCCTAGGACATACAATTTTGCACAATACCAACAAATATAATTTATCATATTTTAAGTAAATGCCAAATGTAACGGAAATTGTTCACCACACACGCGTCCCACAGTGCCTGCTAAATTCTGAACTACATACAAACATTCGTAATATAATATGTGTATATACGAAAAGCCTTCAAACAATTGGCTGTCTATCATACGGTCGGCAGGCAGCAAGGATCGAGAAGAAGAAGAAGCAGGGAAGGGAAATGTAGGAACATAAAAGAAACCGGAAACTCAATTACTCCACGTTCTACAACTCAATTCGACCGCGCGCTCACTCAATGCCCGGATGTTCACGACAAGCTCCCTGAAGTGTTGTAGTTTATGTAATAAATAATATTTTTGTTCTATGCTGAGTTACGTTTCCATTTTACTTTTACAACTACCATTAAGGAGAAAAGAAATTAAAATAAATATGTACATATATATAGGAGTATGCTCATATACATACATATGCATTGTACATAAATTATTCTACATATACATAAGTGCGGCGTTTAAGGCAATTTCCCGTCTTTTTATTATGTATATACACATATATATGTATGTAATAAAATTACAAACGTTTATTATCTTTCCTTAGACTTAATTCCCTTTTCTGGTGTGAAAGCAATTAATAGTGTTTAAGCGTGTATAAAAATCATTTTTTTTCATTTTCTCATATTTCTCTCCGCTAAGCTAAGGGATTTACTTAAAAGTGTCAAATTGCAATTATTTTCGAATAAATTTTATATAGAAAATAAAGTCGCAAAATATATATAACAAAATTAAAAAAAAAAATACATTATATATCTGACAGTACCGATAAATGCACAAGTAAAGAGAATAAAAATATGAGAGATTTATTGAAAGAAAGTAATAATTGGAGTAATAATATTCAAAAACAAAATAAATCATTAAGTAAGCAAAACTAAAAAAATAAACACAAATAAATTTTTTTTTAATTTTAAAAAGCAACAAAAACTCTCATGCAGCATACCCAAGTAATTACAACTAAATAAAAAAAAAAATACATAGTAATAAACAAACAGAATTTACAACATTTACAAAGCAACATATATTGAAAATAAATTTGAAAATCTCTCGCCGTTTATCAAATTAATAATAAATAAAAGCACTTATTTTGAAATATTCATACGGCATACATGTTATATAATATTTCAAATCAAAGCACATACACTTCTAATGAAATAATCATTACAATAGGAGTAATTTAAGACTATTCTTGAGTGACTATCTACTACATACATACATATTTACATTTACTATTACTACTATGCTCTTCTCTGCGCTCAACTACGGTTCACAAGCACACACTCTGTTGGGAGAAAAAAAAATAATAGTAATTAAAAAAAAAATAGTTGAAGTTTAGCGCCAGTAATTTTAAGTTTAATTACTTCTCTTCTTAATCTATTTTTTTTTTCAACTAAATCTACGGAGATTAAATTCTAAAAATAGCGAAAAGCCGTTAAACTTCGTACTTTGAAAACGCGCAAATGCAGCACATTATATTTGTACACATACATATGTAAATACTTCAAAAATTTTTAAACGTAGTTTTTCAAAAAACACGCATATTTATATGAATGTACATATGTATGTAACACGCCGCATATGGCTACAAAACAATAAAAAAATAATAATTTTTGCAATAATTATATAAAAATAAACACACACACACACACGCAAATATATGTCATTTACAAATGTATTATTGCACGGGAAAACTTTTGCATATATATATTTATGTGAATTTCTAAGTGTTAAATTAATCACAGCCACATACGCAAGCGTGTATATTTGCAGTTTGGAAAATCGCTTAAATAATTGCGAGTGTTTTTTCTACTTTTTTTTTTCGAAATAATTGCTTCTTTTTTTAACGAACTAGTTAATAAACTACTTAATTAAAGTGTTATTCATACTGTAAAAAAGAAAAACGGAGTAATAGTATTTAATGTAATTTTTAAGACTATTTGACTACTTAACTAAAGTTTGAGCAACAATTGAGGTTAGGAAGAGAGGTTATTTGAAAACTGTGCATATTAATTTTTATATAATATTGTTTTTTTTTTTTGGATAACGAAAATAAATTTTTGTGTATATTAATTTTGTTTTTATTTTTTTAAATATTAAAAATTATTTTATTTATTAACTTTTATTTATTATTTTTTTAACAAAAATTGTTTTTATTTTAGTTATTAATTTTTACAAACCATTTCTAGCAAAAACTAATTTGTATTTATATTTTGTCTACAAAAATCTATTTATATTGCCATATTCTAATGTTTTTGCAATATTAAATTTCTGTCAAAAGTTCAAGAATTGTTTTTTAAGTTTGTTTATAACTATTGGATGAGTGCATAAGTTCGTGCCCGATTCCGCTGGATGCCGTTCTAATCGTTTGAGAGTGGCGCTCGTGAAAGAAACATATACATATTATATATCGTTGGAAAGGTGACAGTCCGAACTGTAAATCAAGCATAAAATAACTTCATTTTGATTTGAGTTGCTTAGTGAAAATACGCATGTAAGACGGACAACGAAAAAGATTATATGCGTCATATTATGTTATACGAATTCCGCAAAGGAAAAACAGTAGGCGCTGCAACTAAAGATATTCGCGAAGTTTATTTGGACCGTGCTACAGCACTCCGCACAGTAAAGAAATGGTTCGCGAAATTTCGTTCTGGAGATTTTAACCTCGAAGGTCAACCTCGCAGTGGACGGCCTTCTGAACTTGAAGGCGATGAATTGGGAAATCAAGCCGCAACCCCCATATTCACCCGATATTGCACCTTCTGATTATCATTTGTTTCGATCGCTGCAGAACAATTTGAATGGAAAAAAATTTAAAAATGTGGAAGACGTCGAAAACCGCCTTGACACCTTTTTCAACGAGAAACCGCGCGATTTCTATGAATTAGGCATCCGTAAATTGGTTGAACGTTGGGAGTGGATTGCCGAACATGAAGGCGAATACAGAATTAATTAATAAAAGCGCTTTCTTCAAAAAATTTCAATCTGAGTTTGCACTTGAAATCATGCACGAACTTATGCACTCATCCAATACTTTGACGCATTGCTTCAATTATAGTTCTATTTATTTGTAGCTCAGTGCAGTTGCAAAATCACCACTGCTTACTGACTGTAATGAGCGAAAAGTGTTCGTTTTTTCAACATTTACTATTGGTTCTATTCATTTAAAGAGTAGCTCAAATTCTCAACTGGCTAACGAAAAGTACTAGCACTCAGGCTTAGGTTATACAAATAAAATATCAAATTTTTAATCAAACTTTGGAAAAGTCTTAATTTTCTTTAAAAAAAATTGCAATAGATAATGTAAAAAAAATTAGTTATTCTATTCCAAAATCTCCCATAATCAAGTAATATTTTTGTTACAAATTAGTTCGCACAATTAATTGTTGTTTTTATGTCTGAACATCTCTATTTAGGAATGTCTTAAGACAAAGTTGTTTTTTATAAATTTGTGTATATACAGCTTCGAACGGCAGAAATGATCGATTCTGCGCAAATATGATTTATTTTTCTTCATTCAAATGTTGCTCAAACATTAGCTTGCACTCGATTTCTATAACCTAAAATTAAATACAAAAAAATTTTGCAAGAAATCAAAAATTAAAAAAGTCTTAAATATTGATAAGAAAAAGCCTGAATTTATTTTATTTTTAATAAAAATTTGCATAAATTATTATAATAATTATAAAATGATTATTAAGTAATAGAGGTTTTTTTTATTAATTTTACAAAAGATGTCAAAAAAAATGTTTAAAAAATAAAGTCCCCAAAATCAATTGATGTACCTAGCATTAAATTTTTAATCTCATACATATATATACATATACATAAATAGTTAAAATTATTGATTCAAGAGAAAACAATTATTATATACGTTTAATGTAAAATACATGGAGTACATATGTGACATATATGTATGTATATTAGCAACAGAAAAACATAAGAAGAAACTAACTTGGGTATGTGAATAATAAAGTAAGAGTTGCTAGGATTACTTGTAATAAGAAACAAAGTAACGCATAGTAATGTGCGCGTAATTGTTAAATGGAAACTGATCTATTAGAATGGATATATATATATATACAGTTATTAAAACAAACACACTAAAGAGTCAACGCTGAATATATTTACATATGTCAATGGGAAAAATAAAAATTTATGTATAATTAAAATAATTAATATATGAGTATGTACATAATAAATCTATGTATATATATATTGTATAAAATAAATTTATAAAAAATAAAAATAAATATAAATATATAAATAAAAAATTAATAAAAATGCATAAAAAAATTTAAAACTGAACTCTTTAAGAAGCAAAATCTAAATTTACGATATAAACCCTTAAATGTAAATGTAATAACACACACCACACAGTTATTTGTTTCAAATAAATCTTTAATTATATTTAAAAAACAAAAAAATCTAAATGTAAAGAAATCGTCATTATTTTGTTCTTTTCTTGATATGGCAATGGATCGAAAGGGGTAAGTTGCAAAAATATGTAAATGAGAATATATAGAAAAAAAACACCATAAGAAACTAAAAACCAAAATTAAGCAAGTATATAAAAAAAAGTAAAACAAGCGAAAAG